ACATTTAACTCATACATAAACTGGTGATTCACTGAAAGTGTTATTTACATTTTCACTTGCCTATAAGCTGAAGCTGGTTGCACAGAAAAATCCTTTCGCCTTGTTTGCACACATATGATTTGGGACTAATACCTTCCCAACATTATTATCTTCACAATACAACATGCAACTCAATAACGAAGGCAGTGATTGCTGCATACAATTTTGTGCAAGTAATGAAAGGTATGTTATCACTTGAAATCTAGTCAGTTAAGGATTAAAAATAGGCTTAAGTGCTATTTGAGATCTCTTTATTTTTTAAATGCTTTTATCTACTTTATTACAGTATGAAGGACTAATAATAGAGGATCCTGAGTACATAGAAATCATGGTCCACTTTGCCTAGTGCCTACTCCAAAGCCACTTGAAACAGCAGGAGCCTTTACATAGCAGATAAAGTGAAAAAAAACCCCTATTTTTTTCCTTCAGACTCCGATTTACAGAAACAGAAGTATTACTTCACATGCAAATCCTTTTTACCGTAGTCAGACTATTTATAAAGTTTATTACATATATTATTAAAACAATAAAATCTCTCAATTTTGTTTTTCTCTTACCAGGTCTCAAAACACTCTGAAAGCTGAAGCCTCAATTTTGAAATGATCCGCCTAGAAACCAATTCCTGTTCTCTCTTGGAATCTCGTGAAGTAAACAGGTAAAAGGCTCTGTAGAGCTTACTCTGGGATCAACGTGTGTGAGGACAGGAAGAATATATTTTTTGAATAAAAAATAACACCATTCTTTTTTCTTGGTATGAAGACAGGCTGAGAGAGTTGGAGGTGTTCATCCTGGAGAAGAGAAGGCTCCATGGAGACCTTAGAGCCCCTTCCAATGCCTAAAGGGCTTTAAGAGAGCTGGAGAGGGACTTTTCAAAAGGGCATGGAATGATAGGACAAAGGGAATGACCTTAAGATGAAGGAGGGTGGGTTTAGATTAGACATAAGAAATAAATTCTTTAAGGGTGGAACAGGTTGCTCAGAGAGGTTGTGGACTCTCCCATCCCTGGAGGCATTTGAGGCCAGGCTGGAATGGGGCTCTGAGCAACCTAGTCGAGTGGAAAGTGTCCCTGCCCATGGGATCTTTAAGGTCCCTTTCAACCCCAACCATTCTATACTTCTGTGATTGTCTATCCTGAGATATTGCCATGGCTCTGGAGCTCTGAGGCTCAAGCCTTGCAAATGCAGTAATTTAACTGCAGACCAGTGAAAATTAACACAGCAGACAAACCGTGAGCTGCTAAATCTCCAGCAATAACAGCCCTGCTTAATCTTGTGGACGCTCACATCCATTTTTCCTACAAACAAGCTGTGCTGATCTCACACGTACCCAGCATCCAAATTCATCTCATGCTGGGTTAGGCATCCGACCTCGGCTCCCAAGGCAAGAGTCCAGCTGCCCTGGGCTCCCTCTGGAGTCAACGAGAAGAGACAAGCATCTTGAGCAGGTGATTCATGGACCACACCAAAGATCTGAATCACTCCCATGGAGTGGCTCCCTTGCTCCACTGATTACAGAGGAAACCGAGGGTCAATGGGTTCATGATGTAGGTGGTCAGCCAGGTGGAATGTATCCAAACCGGTTCTAGTTGGGCAGGAGTTGCATTATCATAGCTGGTTCTGAATCCTTGACTCCAGTTTCTTCTTCCAATATTATTCACAACTATGCCACATGAATGTGGCCTTTCCTAAAAATATTTTTTTTTCAAAATGGATAGCTAAATAATATGCAAATCTATTGCCCTGAACTTACAACTGAATGCGCTTTTAGGTCAATATCTTTCATGATAGTTATAAACTATTTGAAGATGTGCTGAAATCAATCTACACTAAGTGAATGTACTACGTTTGTATTAGGTATCATGGGTATATTTCACTTCATATTGAAATAAATGGTACTTGGCTTTAGAAATCCTTTCTAGCTCAAGCGGATTTCTGCTGCTGTAAATCCATACAAAAAAGACAAGAGCCGCAATAATTCTAAACTGCAAATTGCACAACTGAAGCTGCAACTAAGCTGAAAACCTTTTCTAGTTCAGCAGGTTTGGACTTGAGTGGGCATATGTGGTTTTGGTTGCAGGAATAGCAGCTGAATTAAAAAAATATTTATGATCTTGACATAGGTAGGATTCCCATTAAAATAAATTGTGTAGGTTCATCTGGTCAACTCCAGGTTTGTGTGTGCTTTGTGGAGATTTTTCTTCCAATCAGAGGGAGTAAATCCAACTCAAAAACCCTCTTAAATTTCAGAGCAGCCAATTCTGATTTGATTTACACCTGCCTAAATCCAACACACATCCATGTAGACCCATATTATACAAATAAAACGTCAATCTTAAGAACTGTGTCAAGGCCCTGTTTCTAGAAGTCACAGCTTCTATTGCCAAAGGGCTGACACTTTTACCAGTGCCCTTATGGGCATAACCATTAATTACCTGTGTCCTCTTCTCTATAGGCCACCTTCCAGCCTCTTCCCCTCTCATTCCTTCTCCCTCAGGCAAAGTGTTTCCTCTGTCTAGCAACCTCTGGAGACATTTGTTACAGTAACAGAATGGTCCAGGTCACATATATCTACTGACAAAAGGATAATCAGTGCTGTTGGCAAAAGCCCTTTTCTTTCATCTGTTCATTTTGGTATGAAATGTGTTCAGAATGCATTTTGCTGCTAAGTCATTAAGTCATCTGTAAAGGATAAGAAGTAAATAAGGTACCGTCAGCTTGACTCACAGGGGAAAAAAATGCGTAGGCACTCTTGGACTATTTTCAGTGGAGGTTTTGTGCTCAAGCAGGGTGGCTTCGAGGCTCACAAAGGAAACCTCAGCACAAATGAAGCATAAAGCACTCAGTGGGCAGAGAAAGCAGTGGGGGAAGCAAACAGAGAAGTGCTTTGCTCCTTCACCTTCTGGTGGACAGCTCTTCCTTGCTGGTGGCAGCAGGTGTTTGTCCTCAGAGCTGCCGGACCTCAACATCTCACCCTGCAACACTCTCTGGCAGGAAGAGGTTGCTGTTTTGCTGAGCTTGGATAAACATTAGGATCTAATTTATCATGTGACAGGAAAGGAAAACCTTTCCCTCTTCCCCCATCCCATTTTTAACAGCCTTTGTTTGAATTTCATCAGGTGGTTTTAAGGTGCAAGGAGTGGGGAGATATTTAACCTGGGTCTCTGAACTGATTATTCTGCTGTCAGCTGATGTATGTATGGCTCTTTCTAGACACAACTCCAAGTGTTACATCTCACTGAATGACATGGACAGGGAGCCAGACCTCTCACTGGACTTACAAAAGAGACATCACACTCATTTAATTAAAAAGAACTGAGCCGCTGGTGCTGTTCATGTCATACAGTATATCCTGTATTACATGCCCAGGAGGAAATAAAAAAGGAAACTCTTTTCCTTGTCCTACAAAGTAAATAGGAATGCTGAGAAATATTTTGGTACTTGCAGAACCTGAGAGTTCTCTTGACTTTATTATTTCATGTGTATTAAGTGCAGTACAGAGCATTATGCAAAGATCTGATTATTCAGTTTTATTTGTGGCATTCCAAGTCCTGGCCCTCCATTGATCCACTTTCAGTTACTGTAGACTGCACACAGGCATAGGAGTGTGCCCAGGTGGCCAAAAAGGCCAACGGCACCTGGCCTGTATCAGGAATAGTGTGGCCAGCAGGACCAGGGAAGTGATTCTTCCCCTGTACTCACCACTGGTGAGGCCGCACCTCGAGTGCTGTGTCCAGTTCTGGGCCCCTCTATTTAGGAAGGATGTTGAGGTGCTGGAGCAGGTCCAGAGAAGGGCAACGAGGCTGGTGAAGGGTCCAGAGCACAAGTCCTTCAAGGAGTGGCTGAGGGAGCTGGGGTTGTTTAGCCTGGAGAGAAGGATGCTCAGGGGAGATCTCATCACTCTCTACAACTCCCTGAAAGGAGGTTGGAGCCTGGTGAGGGTTGGTCTCTTTTCCTAGTCAACCAGCAGTAGGACAAGAGGACACAAGCTTCACTGGGGGAGGTTTAGGTTGGACATTAGGAAGAAGTTCTTCACAAAAGGAGCGGGCATTGGAACAGGCTGCCCAGGGAGGTGGTGGAGTCACCACCCCTGAAGGTGTTTAAGGAAAGACTGGATGTGGCACTCAGTGCCACGATCTGGTTGACAAGGTGGTGTTGGGTCGTAGGTTGGACTTGATGACCCCAGAGGTCTTTTCCAACCCAGTTGATCCTGTGATTCTGAGCGGAGCTGAGGCGATGGGTGCAGGCCAAGGCCGAGAGGGCACACTGAGGCGACGGGAGCGGGTTGGGACAATGAGACCCATCCCCGGCTTCCCCTCTGATCGCGCTGCCCGCGGCGGGAGCCGCAGCCCCGCCTGGCCGGGCCCTGCCGCGACACGCAGGCCCCGCCACGGGCTGCGACTGCGGGGAAACTGGCACACGCCGCGCTGACTCCTCCAGCCTTGCCCTTTTCTCATCCCTCAGCGAGCCCGCCTCCCTCCCCGGGCGGGCACCGTGGACGGCGGGACTATCGCTTGTGTGGCAGGAGCGGGGGGCGCGGGTCTCGAACCCCCGCTAGCGGGGCGGGTGGGGAGGGAGTGAACGGGGCAGGAGCGGGCGCGCCGCGCGGTGCATTGTGGGCGCCGCCGTGATTGCTGCGGAGCCGCGGAGTGCGCTGGGAGCGGCGGGAGGAGGCAGAGGCGGCGCTCGGTGTGGCACTGGCAGCGTTACCGCGGCCATCGGGGCTTCGCGGGCTTGTGCCGCCCCTTCACCCGGTGCGGGAGAGCCCCTCGCCGACCGCCACGGGCGCAGCGGGCGGAGCCGGGCCCGGGCCGAGGGGACGCTCCCCCGCCGCTCGGTAGGGGTGGGAGGGAGGGAGCGCTCGCCGGGGCCTCCGCGCCGGGCTCGCTGCGGGCTGTGCTGGGGCCTCCGGCGGGGAGCGAGGGAGGGGGGAAATAGGGAGAAGGGAAGAGGGAGGCCCGGCCGGCGCTGCCCGTGGCGGGCGGGGGAGCAGCAGAGCCCCGCCGCCCGCAGCTTTGTTCGCCGGGCCCTCCGACGCTCGTCCCACTCTTCTGCCCCAGTCCGCGCGCCCTCCCGGTTCTTTTCTTTCCCCTCTGCTGGATATCTCAGTGTGGAAGCATCGCCTGCGGAACCGACCCGCGGTGCGGGACTAGGAAACAACAGGTCTTCCCCCCACCTCTCCTCGCCTTTTCTCCGAAGTGGCACCGGCGCCTCGCTGTTGGGATTATAAATGTTTGAACTAAGACCCAGGGAATTGGAAGGAGAGCCTCCCGTTGGAATTAACAGGAGAGAAAACAAGGGAGGCTTTTCCAAATCCTCCGCAAGAAAGCCCGTGCTGTTTTTTTCCCCTACTGTCCGCACGGTGTTTAATAATGCGATTGTGACCTGAGTGGAATTTATGAGCAAAGAACTAATTGAAGCTTCTTGCACCGCTGCATCGGACTACTTTTTTTTTGTTGTTTTCTCAGCACATGATTCCTCCATCCCAGCTGTTGCAGGACCTGTGGGCCAGTAATACAGGGATGGGAAGCTGAGGCAGTTTATTTTAACATTCTTCTGTTTCGGGGACTTGGCGAGTTGGCTGAAGCTGCTGCTGCTTTTTACTGGATCTGCTCTTTCCTCGGCAGGTTTATTTCTTTTCATGTGCACGGGGTGTTTCGCTTAAACAGACATTGGACTGGAGCTGAATGGATGCTTTGCAAGCCGAAAGGTTTTGGGAGGTAACAGAAAACTGCTAAAACAGAGAAGAACTGGTACTGCAGGAAACCTGGGGCCTGTCTTCCAAGCCTTTTTGTTTTATTGAGCAAGGTAAATAGCGTAGTGGGGAAAATACAGGGCTTATCGTAGTCATGCATGAAAGCGTTACAAAGCATCTCAGACCGTTCCAAGTCTTTCAGGGGATAGAGAGGACTCACAGTAACTCAGAATGAGTTTAGTTGTTCTTTAAAATGTTCAGATATGGGTATGAAATATAAGGCTGAGAACAAAGTTCGTGCCACCTGAGAGGTTGAGAGAACTGCTTTTTCTGATGTGCCTTATGTTCTTGTAGGTGTGTGATGGTGAGAGACGCTGTCTGAAGAACTAGAGAAGTCTTAGTGGTTCAGTGAGAGTGTGCAGTAATTATATTAGTGGGTTTTTTTCCATGCTTATTTAAAAACTTGATGCCTTAGCTCTGGTAAGGATCTGTTAGAGCCTCTAAAAAGTCCTCCCAGTTTTAACAGTAGTACGGTGCTTACATTTGCATTATTTTAACTGTGTTCATTCTCTGCCTTTAATTATTTTTGCTTACCTTTCCTTTTGTTATCCACATTGACAGCTGCTACTACTTTGTAATGATTTTTTTTGCTTTTATCTTCCTTCACATGTTTTATCTCCTGAATTGGACTATTCGGATTTACCTCTCATTTACATGTATCACTTTCACCGTAAACTTTCTGCAGCCAACAAAAGCTCAAAGTACTGTTTTAGATGTGATCTTTATACGTTTGAAGCATTGGAAGGAACAGATAATGATTCTCAAAATGTGCAGTGTAAGCAGTTACTGGGTTAAGTGTATAATTTTGGGGGGCAAGCTGCATGCCTTATCTTTGTGGTTTTTTTCTTAAAGATCTCGGCAGCAGTTCACTCCTGACAGAAATATAAATCCATTAAAATGAGATCACACTTTGAAACGTGGCTGTAAAAATCTGGTTTTGCAAGAAGTCACAAGATTCTCATTACGAAGTGATGCCTTGATTAAATTGACTGTGTTACCTTTTCTCAGCCTTAATGAAACAGTGGCAAACACTGAGGTGTTGGCAGCCCTTGCTGATTCTATCATGGGGAAAAGCTAAGTGGGTATTATGGGCAGCACTCAAAATGCCTGTTTAGATCTGTTTAACTCGACTTTACGGTCTTTGTTTCGTTTCATTTCAAGATGATGTGTGAGGTGATGCCAACCATCAGTGAGGCCGAGATTCCCGCTGGGGGAAATGGAGGCCACGGTTCAGGTTCCCCATTACAGTCAGATGCTGATTCCCATTTTGAGCAGTTAATGGTGTCCATGTTGGAAGAAAGGGATCGCCTCCTGGAAACACTGAGGGAAACTCAGGAGACCCTGGCACTGACCCAGGGCAAGCTGCATGAAGTCGGTCATGAGAGAGATTCCTTGCAAAGACAGCTCAATACTGCACTCCCACAGGTATGGACATCTTGAAAGGAAGGTACCTTTCCATAATTTCTGTATTCTTTGTGGTGTTTTGTTGGCTTTTTATGTGTTTAATTTGCTGAAGAGTCAGGTTGTGTTAGAGGAGGATGAATCTGGCTTAAGACTATCCTGAAGTGTCTGTTGGTGCTTACTCACTTTGAGAAAGGTACAAAAGCAAAGCATGGCAGCCGTTTCCCTCCAGTGTCCTTTCCCAGTTGATGGAATTTCTTTGGCTTAGGATGAGTATGAAGTTGTATCTACATTGTATTGACATCCTTTTGTTTCACAGTACTTGACGGACTTCCGTCACTATTATTTCTTTAATGCTGTTTCTAACTGTCTGATTAAATCATGTGCTGAAGAATTGATTCCTGGTCGAATGAAAGGTGTTCAAGGGGGGCTTGCAACGAGATGGTCTTTAAGGTCCCTTCCAACCCAAACCATTCTGGTATTCTATGAATATTCCATATAGGCCATTCTGACACTATTATGGACTTTTGACTTAAAACTTGAAAAGGTGAAGACTGATATCTTGTGAATACATGCTGAGTTGTCATGGCAATGTAGGAGTCTGAGTGTGTTGTTCAACCCATTTAGTTACTTTTGAAAAGTTTGGATTTGTTGTTTTTTTTTTTTTTTGTCCTGTTAGGAGTTTCTAATTCCTGACTTGGAGGATGCAGTGCACCAGCACGTGGCCTGTGGTGCTAAGTTTGTTATGTAAGGAACATAGTTAGGAATGGTGATTGGTGCCTACAGAACTTCTTGGGTTTTATCCTTTCTGGTTAAAAATAGTACAAACTGAACTTTGAGCATGTTGAGAAGCATTTAGTTGTAGGCAAAGCAGAGCAGAGGCTGCTTTAGGTGTTGGTTAACTGTTGATAGCCTTGTGCTTTCTAGCATGTCCCCAGTGTCACAATGATGTTAATACTTTTACAAATGTTTACATATCCTTAAATATATTGTAGTTAGTGTTTATACCCTTTAAAACAGTAGTTTTAAACTCTTGTGTTTCACTTTCTTATTATAATGTAATCACTGTGTGACTCTTGGTGTCGTAATTGGTCCCGGCAATTACCGAGGAATAGAAACAAAAAAAAGTTATACATGTTAATCTAGTTGTGTTTCAGTGGTGTGATGGAAATCCGAAAGGAGAAGTTTCCAACTTTTGCTGTTGCCTATGTTAAATCATGTGCTGCAGGCAAAAATCGTTTCTTTGGTTTTTTGTTGTAATAACTGTGGCTTCTCTTCAGCCTCTGTGTCAGGTCTACTGCATTAATGGATGCCATTAACCAGTTGTGTGACCTGGAAACTGTTACACTTGCATTTGTGGCTGAGTAGAATCACCCAAATTCTAAACTGTGCTGTTCCCCTTTTCTGTTCTCAGCTTTCTTTCCTAAATCTAGTAAGCTACTTACATGTAAACATCTCTTTCTAAACATTTCTAAAAGATTAATAAACAGTTTCCGCTTTCAAGAATGTCATAATTGGATGGCTTCCTGTGAAATCTGTAGGAAAAGCAAGTCTGTTCAGAGAGAGAAATTTTACTGCAATTTTCTCTAAATGCACAGCAGTGTATGGATTTTTGTAGATTCTGTTAAAAGTACTGTTTTCATACTGTGAAACTGCCACTTTTGTCCTCAGTGGGGCTTGGCTTATTGTGGAAGGTGACAACTGATGGTGCTTTGAAGAGTAAGAAGTATTTTATTATTATTGCTACAATCAGCAGTAACTGCTGTATTTGACAAATTTTTGTTGTTGTTATGGTAGAGTCATGTCAGTTACTTCATAGGTGTAAATTTCTGATGAGGTGAAACAATATTTTTTTGAAATGCTAATATGTGTTCACTGTCAAAACTGTGGTGACTAATATTTGAAACTATTCACAGTTTTTTGTTAATTATTTTGAGCTGAGAGTTTTTTTTCAAGTATGGCCCATTGTTTGACTATGAATTTCAAGAAGGGTGGAAACAGGATAACTTTAAATTTATTGACAGATGTGTTATATTTTTTCAGGAAAAAAGGGATAGTTGTGTACATATTTAATTTTTTTTAATCATGATAGTTGTTTTCAATTTAGTAGATCTGTGAAGTTCAATTTAAGGAGTTGTACAAAGACCGGTATAATTGCTAAATCACTGTGTAACCAAAGTGTTATTTCTCCCTCAGACTTGACTTGTAAGAAGTCTTTGTAGTTGATTTTAGAGTGCTTTAACTTAATGAATGTTGAACTGAATTGTTTATATGTTCACTTTTCCTGATTTATGTTTTTAGCTGAATCAGCCAGTTTTAGACTGCTCTGATACTGATGAAAAATCCTTGTATAAAATATAAAAAAGGAATGCTGGATTTCTTCTATAGCAAAACTGTTTCTCTGCTTTTAGTATGAACACACTGAATTTCTGATGGAATCCCTGTATCAACTCCTTACATTCACTGAGCTTCTGTGTGTAAGAAAGAGGCTCAGACTGGTGTGTATATAGTGAATTACAAAATGGCAAATTAGTACTTGGGTATTTGCACATCTGGTAGATTATAAAAGCAAATGCAGAGTTTTTTTCTGTAGCAGTGATACACATTTTCTGAAGCCTCAGAGGAGCAGACTTTTCTAGCACACTTAGTGTGGTGGGCAGGTAGGGATTTTAGACATCAGTTCTAGTTCACATAAACCTGGGACAGATATTTAGAGTAAAATGCCTTTTGTTGGGGATGTTTAATTCACCGAGAGAAGAATATTTTAATATGATATAGATGAGCTTAATCTGTTACATTTATGCAAAGTAAAACTACCCTTTTTTTCCTTTTTATGGACAGCTGAAAATGAAATAATCACCAGTACCTTGATAAAATACCTTGATTCTTGGCAATGCTTTTTGTTTTCTGGGAGTTACCTGCTATTACGCATTACCCCAGTCCAACTGTACTCTGACCTTGGAAGATGAACTTGAAGAATCAAATTGCTGTGCAAGAACTTAATTTTATTCTTTCCAGAATTTTTCACAGAAAAAACTGAGCTTTTTAGTTGGAGAGCTTATGGAACTTTAATGTAAACACATTCAGTTATGATTCCAATTATGGTCTTAGTGGATTTAATTATGCCTTTTATGTGCCTTGTAGAGTGTATTCTACCAAATTCAAGGTTTCAAATTTATAAATTAATCTGTGAGACATCCAGGATGCTACTGTATTTAAAAGTTAAATTTTGAACCTAAGGTAGAGAGGTCTAAGTGAGTACCAGTTCTTGCTATCAGGGTGTTGCAGGCCAGGGTTCATTTTGCTGGTGGAATTTCATGTGGATATTTCTGTGAATGAAAACAAGATGCTTGTTTTGGATGAAGGAGACTAGAGTTTAATTTACAGTGACTCTGATGCCTGTCACAAGTAAAAACACAGTAGAATTCACAACAGCTTCATCAGGATGAAAATTTCAATGTGTATGTTAAGAATTTTATAAGCTGATGTACAAATAATATGCTTCTGTAATGCAGCAACACTTAAGATTCATCTTAATCTTGCACCTCTAATATTTTGATTTTAAATTTATCATTTTTATTTCTATGCAAGGCAAGCAAAATAGTTTTTTCTGCATTTGTGATGGTCATGTTCAGTAATGTCTATATAGGAGCAGATGAGAACTTTCGGTCAGGTGCTGTATGTAAGTAAGAGCGCTTTAATATGGAGTTAAATGTGGAAAAAAAAACTACCTATAATTTTGATTTGGCTTTACCAGGTTGCTCATCAGATGATAATTTTAAAATGAGTCCACAGCAGGTCATTTTTAGTTGCTTTCTACCCATAGTGAATAGTTTATCACTACTTCACGCTTCAGTTAAAAATAGTGTCAGTTTATATTAATTATGTTATTTAAATTCAGGTATGTCTCTATAGAGTGATCTTCCTCAGACCATCTCAGAAATTCTGTTCATTGCCTCACATGTCAGAAATACCAAAACACTTGGTCCAGAGACTGCCCTCGTGTAGTTTTGTAATGATGGACTGAAGGATTTAGTTGCCATTTTATTAACAGTGGTACTTGGATTTCCTCCAGGCAAGTTTTAAGTAATGGATGTCACAGATGTATAAGTGAGGTTTTGAATTGTACATAATTTGAAGAACACAGTTGCAGAAAGTGCATTAAGCAAAGGCCTTGCCAAACTCTGCAGAGGCTGAAATTTTCTCAGCATTGGAAGTGCAGCTCCATTTCCAGTATTCACAGATGTTCAGCCTTGAGCTGACATGGCTTTTACTTCTTACTCTGGCAAGAACTGTTGCTGACCTCTAAATACCAGCCATTAATATCAGCAGAGCACTGTGAGTTCAGAAATGGTGGAGATCCAAAGGGATCTCAGATGTGTAACTGTATGTCAGGGCAAATGTATCCTCCACTTCTGTCATCCCCTTCTGACAGCAAAGACATGACTGTTGCATTTTCAGACAACTGACATTTTAATCTTGTCTGTGTTGAGTTTCAGTTGCTAAACCTTGCTAAATTACTGGATGGATCTGACTTTGCAGTTTAAGTCAAGATGGAGATAGGAGTTAATATTCAGAATTCTTCACTGACTGTATCAATAAACCTCAGCTTCCCTGACATTTCTTTCTTTGCAGAGTGTGGAAACAGCCAACTTTTGCCTAAAATCTTCAGACTATGAAGTTATCTGAAAGTATACACTTAAATAATGTATAAATTATTTAAGCTACACTTAAATAATCTAGTGGAGTACACTGAGGACCAAGTCTCCAGCATTGGTTCTGACTTTTTAGTTTCTCATTTAAATATATTTGGGTTCGTTGTTTGAAACATCTCACCCCTGCCCAGCACACATCTGTTTGCCTATTGTTAGCAACTTTCTGTTTATACTGTGCTTTTAATTTAAGTTTTCTTTTTTATAAATAGACCTTTTAGCTAGATTAAACTTGGAATTAATTTTAGGTTGTCTTGTACTTGAGGATGAATTTTAGTGGTGTTATGATGTCCCATTTATCTCTGTAATAAG